GGTCCAACCACCTACAGAGTTTATGGAAATCAATACTGCATTCAAGGACCCTGGGCTGGAAGACCCCAGCTTGCTCAGGAATTCCATTACCGTCAGCGCAGTGGTGGTGCTGAGTTTCATCATGTCATCACTAGTGCTTATGCGTGCTCCATCAATAGTAGACCTCTCGACATCTCTATTCTTGTTTCCGTTGCACGCCCTTGTCTGTCTCCCCGTTTTATGACTGTCTTTTTCCAAGTTCGCTGACAACTTATTCCGCAGACCTATCAATAGGACAATGATGTCACTCAGGAAAACTACAGCATCCGTGTTGCACGTAACACATACCCACTTATTATCCGACTTGCTGATTCTGTTGTAAGCAGTTGCTGTGAGATCTGTGTACGCTTCATGGAACCAACCTTTGCAGTTGTCGCACTGCATGTCAGATGTAACAGCAAAACGGCATCCAGGTCGTTTGCATGAATCTTTCATGACTGTATTGACATGAGCTGTATTATAGGTGCTAGCAAAAGCATAAGACCGTTCAAAAATACACTAAAAAGCGCACTAAAGACGGGCAAAAACGGATAAAAACTGATGAGAAAAACTGAACAAGCCTTTACGTGAAAAACTGGAAAAAAAACCGAGTAGTAAGCTAAGGCAAAACCACAATTTATTATTAAATTGGGTGAAACTCGAAAAAAAGTAATCTACCAAACGTATAGCTCAGAATAGGTCCTTTAAATCAGAAATGGTACTTTTGTTGCTTAAGGACACAACAAAAGTATGAGAAGTGCAAATCTCTTTAGGACCAAGCTTTCCTTTTTAAAAGCGCTCGAATAGATTCCAGAAGCCTAAAGGAGGGGGGTAGCTGTTGTGTTGTCGTGAGTGAGCACATGTCAGCCCAATCCAGACCTAACGTCTGAAAAGAAAATATAAAATATATCATACACTCTGAATCCTCAGTAGGTTGGACAATAGAGATAAAATCCCCGACTGAAAGAGCTTGGGATGTTTTTGGAACTTTGTACTTAAAGGTCACTGCACTCCGCATCCCTCGGACCAAACCAAAGGGTCCGAGAAACTCCCCACCATGGTTCAGGACGGCCCTGTCTTCAAAATAGGTACGAAGCATAAACATGAGAACTACCGACCTGTTAGCCTGATGAGAGTGGATGTTAAAGTTTTAGAAAAGATTATTCGGAAGTTACCTATAAACGTAGGCTACGATGACTTCAGCACATCTTTTCACAAGGTTCCTCACAACCGACTGCTATAAAAGTTAGGAAATATCGGGATTAGAGGCAACCTCTTGATGTGGATAAAAGACTTCCTAGTTGGGCATCAACCAAGAGTATGGATGAATCCCAAGTTGTCCAGCTGAAAAACTATGCTTGGCGGAGTGCATCAGGGTAAAGTTTTGGAGCCACTGTTATTCTTCTTATGTGCAAATGACTTTCCTCGTTCCCTCTCATCATTGGTTCTGCTATATGCTGACGATGTCAAGATATAGAGAGCCATAAGAATTAAAGCTAATAGCTTAGAACTTCAAAATGACCTGGAGAAATTATCTGAATGGTCTCAAAGTTGGCAGTTGCCGACAAATGCTTCTAAGTGTATCGTGATGCATACTGGTGATCAAGATGCAGATACATACATGGGAAATAATATTGAGCTACCTGTTGTTGACATAGGAGTCGTCGTTAGCCAAGACCTAAACTGCCGTGCAATAGCCACAGAGGTTTTGGAACCCTATGATCAATACGTAAAGCCCTTATCCATGTTGGCGCTTAAGCTTTTTTGACGTTGTGTGCAGTGTTCGAGCTCCTAAGCTCGAGTACTGCATACAAACGGCTAGCCCCTGCTCAAAAAGGGCAGAGAACTTTCGAAGAAGGTCCAGAGAACCGCAGTTAAGCTGATTCCCGGAATAGCAAAGCTCCTGCATGATAACAGCTTGACTAAACTAAACCTATTCCTAATGACATAATGAAGAACCAGAGGGAACGTGATCACAGATTTCGAATTACTTAGTGATAAATTCGCGTCTGGCGTGCCCTCATTTTTCTCGTCTTCCAAATTTAAGAGTTTACTATGGCACTCTTAAAAAGTTCACAAGCCCAGGACAAGTTACTTGTCAGCTGACTATCGATTTTCCTACGAATCAACAACGAGTGGAATCCATTAAATCAGCACGTCGTTGAGACTTCATCCGTCGACTCTCCAAAAAAAGTTGGATCACCTGAGAGACCGCCATTGTCAGGATCAACACAAGCTACCCGGCCACTTGTTTTTTGCAAACTGAAGCTAAATTTGTGGATATTGAAAGCAATACTGTAATGGCAACATTACGACATGTTCGGTACCTAGATGATTAATTGTCCCTCCTCACGTTTCATTCCAAAGTTTAGAAAACTTAAAAGGAACAATAATCTGTTAACGACTCAGTCTATTGTATTCTTAGTTACCTCATATATTTTTATTTTCTTTATACTAAGAAATCTGACAATTTAGCATTATCATCCCGCTGAGCTAACACGAAAATTACTCACAAAAAGGTGTTGTGTGACCTGCCTCATGCAGTTGTCCCTTGGACACTGCGGACAAGCCCTCAGGTCACTAAGACAAACTCTAACCCAATTTTCTTTGTCAGGTACCTCCAGGAGAATCCTTCAACTGTGTGTGCAACCTGGAAGTAAAAACCGCCCTCACACCTCTGACATCACTCAAGACCACTGTATTCACAATCAGTCTTCCTCTTCGGTTCCTATTATTCCTCCTACCTCGACTTTGAACTCTAAAATTCCTCCTCAAATGTCACCATGGCCAACGATTCTAGTGCGCAAAGTACTCTCTCAAGTCTACAGAAACCTGGCTCCAAACTACACATTAGGGCCTTCAATGTACGTACCCTGTGTCAAACCGGCCAGCAGGCCTCCTTGTCTAAGAACCTAGAATCTCGTACGATTGATGTATTGTGTGTCTCCAAAATACGTATACAGGATGCTAATGTGGTCACTGACTTGACCTCACCTCACCAAAACAGAGAGCCTACCAGATCCACCCTCCGTCTGTCTGGCGACCAGATGGCTAGTTCTCATGGACTGACGGGTGTAGGCATAGCAGTAAGTATGAAGGCAGAAGAGGCACTGTTAGAATAGATTGGCGTTAACAGTCGCCTATATGCTGTTCGGCTAAACGGCTCCGTAAGAACTCGGAGGGATAGGGGCACGTGGCGTTGCGTTTTCTTCAGTTCTGCTTACGCTCCCACTAACTGTAGCCCGAGCAAAGTGAAGGATGAATTTTACAGAGAGCTTCCCGAAGTTCTTCAAAAATCTAAACACTCAGACATAGTACTCGTAGTAGGTGACTTTAATGCCCAAGTAGGTAGATTAAACCAGATGGAAAGACATTTAGGTGGGTAGTTTTGTATTCTGGCTCAGCGAACAGATAATGGTGATCGTCTACTGCAACTGTGCTCCGACAATCGTTTATTTTTAACAAGCACCAATTTTAAGCATAAGGAGAGGCATCGTCTAACATGGCGACCCCCTTCACCAAACTAACAATGGACTGAAATAGACCATATTGCCAACAGTCATCATTGCAGAGGCTCAATGGAAGACTACCTCTCATTCTGGAGTACTTGTTTAGACTCTGGTCATGCTGTAATGCGAGCACGAATTTGCTTGCGTCTACCTGGGCTCAGAAAAGTCACATTAAGAAAACGCATTAGAGTTGAACTGAGTGACGAGAAAACCAAAAGTAGATTTAAGGAACACCTGAGGTGACACCTAGGTAGTTGTGAAAACGAGGCTGACCCAGATGTTGCTTAGAAAGATATACGAACAGTTGTGAAAACAGCAGTGACATCTGTTAGTGATTTGAACCCGAATGGTTAAGAAGAGCTAGTGGATTTCTGTAACATGTATTACACTGATAGACTCTCGTAAACTCATCCCATCAGGCCCCGAACCAAAAGTCTACGGAACGATCGTGAGCAATGTCGGGCAATGAAAACAAAGGAGACGGAAAAAGCGACTAGGTTGACTAATATTTTAGCTCAAATCTGGGAGTTGGACGTAATCTCATCTGACTGGTCACAATCACTGATTGTCCCAATACATAAGAAGGAGTCAAAATCATCCTGTGATAACCATAGTGGGATTATTTTGTCCAATATAGCATCTAAAATACTAACCTCAATAATTATCGGACGCCTAATAAAGACTCGTGAACTGCAAACACGGGAAAATCAGGCTAGCTTCAGACCTGGTCATGGCTGAATTAACCACATATTCGCCATTATTCAGATCTTAGAACACAAGTATGCTTACCGGCCTCTGACAATTGTGGTCTTTCTTAACTTAAAATCAACATTTGACTCTGTAGACCGAGAGGTTCTGTAGCAGTGTCCGTCATTTTAAGGTGTATCTTAAAAGTACATAAACCTTGTGAAGGCTCTTTACTGGAACACTACTAGTCGAGTCAGAGCTTATGGCGACTTGTCTTCTGAATTTGGTAGTACATAGATGGTCGTCTGTATTGCATTGCTACTCATTTTTCTCGCAACCAAAAAGTTTCTAAAGCGCTATTTATGTTCTGGTGTTTATAAGGGATTTATTTCAGTGTGACTATGGAGTGCAGAACTTTAACAAATATCTCAATAGGGGTGGTGAAAGTGAGTTTTTAGACACTGATGAGTCATCTACAAAAATAGTAAGGTATTACTGGAATCACGTAAAAACTGGCCAAGTGTTGGGAACATGAACCTGTATTTTATTAGCTATTTATACTAAAGATGTCCACAATAATTGAAAACAGTAGGCATTGCAATCCATCAAGGTGCACTGACTGATAAGCCTCCAAGTTACAACGTTTTTAACCACTGTATACTTTATTGTGATGTTTTTTTTAATATTCTTAAGTATTTCTTATCAAGTACTAACTTTGTAAATTAAGGTTTTGACTTTACAAAACTCTAGGTCTCAGGTCGCTATGGAAAGAAAGTAAGGAATCAGATGTACCGTCTGATACGTTGTCCTCTGACTACTAAAAGAATATCATTTCTCAGTAAAATTTTCGTTTAAATGTCTCACATCTCTTAGATAGTGTTATTTCATTTGCAATGGGACGTCCACTTACTACGGACACAATAGATTTAACACCATTTCCTGAGTTATATACTAAAGAGAACATCATTTTACATAAAATTTTCAACAAGTATGGGTTTGAGCTACGTATCGCCGGAGGCGCAGTACGTGATATTTTACTAGGAATTTCTCCACATGACATTGACTTCGCAACAAACGCTACTCCACCTCAGATGTCTGAAATGTTTTCCAAGGAAGGAATTCGAATGCTGAATAGAAATGGAGAATCACATGGAACTGTTACAGCCAGAATTAATGATAAGGTATAGTTATATTCACATGAAATGTTTATTTAACGTATTTTCACTTGTCTTATCTATAAATAGGTTTAGTATGACTTGACATATTTTGTAGGTACAAAAGTTCTCCATTAATATTTTGTTTTGTAACTAGGTGATACAACTTTAGTCTTTCATTTTCTGCCTGGACATCATTATCTCTCATACCTATCACCATATATGTTTATTACCAAGTAACCAGAAGTTTAAGCTTGTTGGTTAAAGGATTTGACTCCCACAATTAAGATATATATTAGGACCTTGATCTGTCTACTTCGGTTTGGGCACCCGAGTTATTTAATGAGTCTTCATACGAAGCGTATGTGGTTCAAAGCCTAGTATATAAACAGTTGCTTGATGGAGGAGCTACATCAGATTGAAATTTGATCTAAAGAAACATTTGGATGGTTCCCCAGTCCTCTGTAAAGGAATCTGGGATCGCAATAATACTTATAAATACTATTGATGGTAGTTATAAACGTTTGTCACTTCCTGGCGAATTTGAATGGCTCATAGATAAGTTTAACAGAAGCTTGATATTAACATGGTTGTCATTCTTGCTTTCATCACTGATGTCACCAGTCAGCTTATCCTAAATTACTAAAGGCTAAATCCAATGTAACCACAGTTAAGAAATGTAGGTTCTTGATACACACAGAGCAGCGCATTTCAACACAGTTAAAAATACAGAATTTCTTAGACGACTAGCGAATAAAAACGTCATAGTTACCGTCAACTACATTTCATTTCTTATTGATCTAACCACAGCCTAAATAAGTTATCTTCGGATGCTAGTACACGCAACTGTATGTAGTTACTGAGTTGCATTGAAAAATATTTTTGGGTATATAAATAAGGTAAAGTACCTATATATTTGTCTTAGTCGTTAATAGTTCCAGGTTATGAGACATAACACCCATCTTTTGGTTAAGTTAAATCCAGTGCATTATCTGGCTTATTTTTTAAAAGTCGTGGGTCTGTAATAAACTCAAACCGTATAAAAGTTTACTAAGAAGGTTCCAAGTCTAGAAGCAGTTTTGCCAGTCAGATATTTGATGGTCAAATGCCTGTCTGTTCATGCTTCTCAACTTTGTTAAAAAAAATTCTAGCTACAGTATGTCCCTATCATAAATACGTACAGCTCTAAATTTGTTTGTGTTGTCATAGGTTAGTAAATTTACACAACAATGTCACTAAATTCTCATTTTAGCAGTACTTTTTTTATAAAGATCGATATTCAGTTGGTATGTAATGTAACTGAATAAAAGGTATGTTGCAATGAACTTTGTTTGATATTCTGTTTTCAAAATTAACCATCAGAGAACTCTCAAATGAAGCTTAACTTTACATACACCACAATATTCTTGTAATTCTCAGACTGAATTAAACATTCTTGCTGTCATAACTAATAATTCGTTAAACTAATTGCTTTTCATCTGTATCCATGGTGTACCACCCTTGTAAGTCACACTGTATAGTAGGATACGGAGCTTTTTTTTTACATCGATGCATTAAATATGGGTTTTTGGTCAGTTAACTATTAGTAACCCAAGTTACCACACCATGTCACAAGGAGATGAAATCGCTAAGAAATCGGAATGATTGAAAAAGACTAAACAGCGAATACATTATACATTTCGGTCGAAGTAATATTGTCAACAAAATTCATGAAACGGATAAATATTCTAGCTGAGCATATGAACCTATATCTATTTCTACAAATTTAGATGAAATTAAGTTAAAATAAATTTTTTCTTTTTCCAGGAAAATTTTGAAGTTACCACTCTACGTATTGACGTTGTCACAGATGGAAGGCATAGTGAAGTTGTCTTTACAAATGACTGGAAGTTAGATGCTGAAAGAAGAGATCTTACAGTGAATTCGATGTTTCTAGGTGTTGATATGCAGGGGTTATTTGATGAGGCTAATGAAGCAACAACAGATTCTTCCGCAAATGAAAATATTACAAGTAATAAACAAAAAGTGTTAGGACATTTATGGGATTATTTTAACGGTTGCGATGACTTGAAAAATCATCGCATACGATTTGTAGGGGATCCAGATGCTAGGATAAAAGAGGATTACTTAAGAATGCTAAGATATTTCCGATTTCATGGTCGTCTGTCAACAGAAGACACATATGATAGGCATGATGAAGATGTGTTGAAGGTACGGATCACTTTTTCGAGTGAATATTTGTAACATTTCAGTTTTTTAGTGGCATCGCTTAACAACTTTACGTTTTCTTTCTGGTAGGGATTATTCATTTCGTTTAATAACTTTGGTAACATACTTATATTCCTATTATGACCTTGGATGTCTGACTTTTCTATCACACGATTTATCTACCAATCCGAATACGACTTATACGAATCTTCACACTAGGCCAACCAATGACGTTCAACCGGTGTGGGCAGTTTAGCGTCCTTATTGGTCCTATGTCCTACGAGCCCTTCCACTTGAGTACAGAACACAATATCAGCTTCCGAATATGAATCGAATCGTTTATTTCATGCATACTTGGTTTATATATCAATCACACAGACCACAACGTACCATAAAATAGGAAATAATATTTGTACACAAATAAGCCCAAGAAGTGGCTGTGAATGTGGGAGGCAGTAGTTAATAAACTGAACATAACTTAAGAACCGTAAATCGTACAATAATAAATTATAGGTCAAAATAAAGCTTATCATAAAATGAATATAAATATACATAGTGTAATTGTTGAGTAGTTATACAATAAGAATATTTATAGAATATTAGTCCATGAATAGTCCTCGGAAGTTACCTGTAATTTAATCTTCACCGGATATAACAATTCCCTTAGTATATGTACTGTTTATGAATTATCAAAGTATTTTTACTTCGGAAAGTTCAGAGTTATACTGAACACTATAAAGTATGTTATCTGTCATCTGGGTTTTGTCAGAGTATCAAAATGTCAGATATGGAACAGCTTTATTGATATTTGGTTTTTAATAAGTCACTAAATTAGGGTCAGTACATGTTTTGAATTAACGGTAGAGTATTCATTCTCTGCGTCTACCCTGATTTCCATAGTTGCCATCTCATTCTCATTAGAAATTTAAAAAATTAAATCCGAGAATTTTTCATGCGTCTAGTTCTCTTTGTAGCTTTGAACGAAGTAATGACAATAAACGGCTTGTATAATAAGATTAATTCATTCTATTTCAACGTTTCCCACTAGTTGTGACCAGCATGAATTTACAGATAACAGGATTAACAACAAAATTTGGGAAATTTTAGTTGAAGCTGTGACAAAGGTACGCGATACAAACTCCCCCAAAAATAGATGGATGAGAGTATTCTTAATACCACTCATATTGGCGTTTCAGAAATACCTAATTTTTTTTGTTCTCTAAATGACTATTCAGCCGTTAAGTGAAAAAAGTGGGGAAATATTAAATGTACAATTTTAACGTCAAGCTTTTCCAACCATTTATTTTAGATTATGAGTATTAAAGATCCCAAGCAATTTACAGATGTATTGTGCACCCCTTTCCTTAGGAACTAGCAGTAGTAGTAATAGTCTAACATTGAAGACGTCTTATTGAAAAAAAAGAAGCTCTACATATAACACTAAGATGGATTCAACTGCGTCGAAGGTGCTAGAAGTTGCGAAATAATCTGTTAGTCCCATTCACCTGAAGATGGATATTAAACAGGGACTGTGTTCAAAAAGACATCAATATCTAGCATTTAACCAACAACTTGTTGAACGTGTCATGCAACTTTAATATAGAAAATAGTAAATTTGGATCGCTAGTGGTGACTATTATGCTGCCGGTAATCCAGGCCCCTGATTTTTTGGGAACAACAATTAACATGTAAACTATTATTAGCCGCTCCAAAATGACTTAAAGATAGTGTCTGTCAACAGCTAGTGTACTGACTACATTTCTATTTTTGTTCAATGAACGGAGCATTTGAGTCGGGAAGATAAGTTAGTGTGATAAGCATGCTATGTATTTTGTGTTCATTTAGACCTCATGGCATATTAGAAGACTTCTCGTCTGAACTGGTCTTAAGACGTGAGTTGGAGCCTCTATGATAGATATTATTCTACAAGGCAACTTAATCATGTTTCATTAGTATAGAATCAAACTTTCTTTTTTATTCTGTTTCTGGAATAATGTTCCAAATGGATTCAATTTTCGACAATACTGGTGGGATTTTTAACGAATAATAACATTTTCCAATATGTGATTTTTTATAGTTCATATGCTTGTATGCTTGTTACAACTATTGAGTTTTTAGTTTTTTAAATCGCAATATTGTTTATTAATAATAATAGACTATAGCCTCAAATGCTAATGGTTTGTCAATAATATCTGGTGAACGCTGTTTCAGTGAATTGAAGAAAATTCTACTATACCCTTCAACTCCATTCCTTTTACGTCGGATGGCAGATGCTGGGCTATTTGTTCACTTAGGTCTTCCTGAAAACCCTAACTTTAAAGAATTAGATAAAATCTGGAATAGAGGTATACTTTCTTCTGCACCAAACCCGATTACTTGTTTAGCTGCAATCATGACATCGCCTGTTGAAGTAAGTTCAGTCATTTTTGAAACAAAGAAACAATTTCATTTGTTATCACAATTCAATTCGTTCAAACTTTGGGCTGAAATTCATTACAATTTCGATTCAAAGCCGCTCTGTTACAACATCTAAAATTAATGGTCGAAGGTATAGTTGGAATACATCCTAAAATCTCTAGGATTTTGCCAACTTCCATCATCTGTAGTGTAGGTGAGGTGTCGATCTCTCAAGCAAAGCGGCGGTATACTACTCAGTGGTTTACTCTGCTCTATTTTATTGCTGTAAAACACAGTCTTTGATGGTAAAAGGTATGCTTAAACTTCAGGTTTTTTATTTAAAGCATTTTTCACGTATCTTGGATCAAATTGGTGAACAATAGCGAGTTCGCACTCAGGGTACAAGAAGGTAAATCTGTTGGTCTTGCTAGGAATCTGCAGCGATCAAGGTAACTAGGATACGTGTCACACATTCCTAACCACCATCTACCTCAATGGGTAATGTTAGCTGGAGTAGGAGTAAGTTGGAAGAAAGCTAATGGCAGTTAAACCAAGATGCTGCATCAGTTCATAAAAATATTGACAACTGGACTGAATCATGTCGATATATATGGTTGAGGTTTGTGCGGTTACTGTGACCACAGGTTCAGAGACATTAAATGATGTGGTTTAGAATCGATGTCACTGGTGCATGTCCATTCAGTTTTTGTACTTCCATAGATCTTAAGTTTCAAGGTAGTTTTATATATTTCTTTCCACAGATTTATTCTTTAATTATATTGTCTGTGCTTAGTGTTTTCTCCTACCACTGATACTGTTAATACTTCTACTACTCTGGTGTGTTTTCTTGATAATTTCATCTCGCTGTGGTGATGAGGTGTGGCAACTTAAACCGATGTACCACATGTACTATATTCAACGTTACCTATGATTGACTAGCTGGCTAACTCATAACAGCTTTCCTCACCTCTGAGCAATTTACTTCTCACTTCTAAGGATTCCATTAGTTAATAAAGTAAACCCACCATCTTATGTGTAGGTGAGGAGATATTGCCATGTATATTTTGTTTTTATTTACTACCTAATTTAGAGTCATTTAATCCTTTTTGTTTTTTATTATAATTTTCACTAAGATCATAATACTTTTGTGTTTGTTTATTTTTTGATTTTATTTCATTTTTGTCCCATTTCACTGTTATTTGCTTCCAGGTTGAGAACTTAGACAAACGTTTACGTTTATCTAATCTAGATTTAACAATTCTATTGTACATATTACATAAACGCGATTATTATTTTAATTTATCTAATGAAAATGATAAAAATGAAATGAAATTTTATCAAAAAGAATATTTATTATCATTTGAACCGAATAAAATAAAACCAGCTATAACTGAATTGTTAAAATATTTAGGCAAAGATAAATTATTTATTGATGAATGGTTATCATGGCAACCACCAAAGTTTCCAGTCAGTGGTACATTAATTATTGATCAATGGGATATACCTAATAAATTAATTCGACCAGTTTTATTTAAACTACGTGAACAGTGGTGTGAATCAGATTATAAATTATCAAGCGATGAATTATTAACTGAAAGTAACAAACAATTTATATTGGATCATTTAAATAATCATTCTGTTGATTGTATCCCTGAAAGATTTATAATTCAAGCTAAAAAATCACGAAGATGACAATATTGACTTGTTTATTTTTTGTAGTATGTATATGTATTTACATAAATATATATGAAGTGTTATTGTTGTTACTCATGAAAGAGAAAGCGTGTGTGTGTGTGTGTGGGAGAAAGAAAAAGGGATTATCAGACTGTGTTCCTGTTAATTAAAATACAGATAACTTATTGAGTATATTGAATATTACTCTGGAATACAAGTATGTTGATAGTGATAATAATTTTTATAATTTCAATTTATGAGATGATTTTAGATTGTTTTGGTGAACGAAACACTACTTTGTATAGTACTATACTAGTCAGTTGGTTACAAGCAAAGTAGAACGTCACACAAGTATATGTTAGCTCAAGTTTACTACATCACATCAAAACAACAAGATGCAACTATCAGTGTGAGTATCAAAGTAGTAGTAGTGTTATTGATAGTTCCTTGATGATCTCCACAAAGATTGTAGTTTCTACTTTTTGTTCTCGAAGTTGTTCACTGATATATTCTACAAATGTACTATGAACGTAAACTTCAAATTCAATGGTGAAATATATAGACAAATAGATGGTGTAGCGATGGATTCACCACTAGGTCCCATATTGTCTGACATTTTTCTCGCTAAACTAGAAAATGGTTCACTCGTGCAGTAGGTTGACAAGTTTTCATCTTACTGCTGGTATATGGACGATATGTTCGTCCTTTGTAACGACCATATTGACCTGATGAAAATACTCAAGTGAGTTAAGGAAGTTCATCCGTCTATAAAATTCACGTGCATGGACGGGAAAAGAGATAGAATATTCTTTCCAGATGTTCTGCTTACAAGGGGAATAGATGATTCACTAAGAAATTTAAACAAGAAAACTACTTGAACTGACCTATATGAAAATATAAAACGAAACTGATTGAGACATTTCACTATAGATCAAGACCATATGCTCCCTAGATGCAATTAAAAAGGAAAAAAAAGATATTGCCTACTACCCTGAAGGAGGATAGATATACGGAGAAATCTATAAATAAACATTTAACCAAGAAAGGAGAGTACAAGGAAGGCCTAACTGTGATCAAAAAGCCTCTGTTTATGTGTTTATAATTAAGAGGTAGTGCACCCGGTGAAATACTAATACTATAGCTGCGCAGAGCAATTTAAAGAACTTTTAATGCAGGTAATGTACAACTATTGTTTTCTACACATCCGATGAACACTTCGATATTGGAAGAGAAATTACCTAGACTATTCACTTCTTTCCGTATCTATCAATTCTACTGCTCTTGTAGAGCAAGTTATGTTGACAGGTGTTTTAGGAATTTGTATTCTCGAGCTTGCGAGCACCTCTCGATGTGGTTACGCAAAGGTTAACAGTTCGATTTTAGCTCAATCAAAACAGATTCAGTTATACAATGGTTCAGTAAACATATGAAATGGGATCTAACTATTATAAGTACTAGGAATTTACAATTACAGTGATTGATAATCTGAATATTACAAATTTATGTAAATATTTTAAAATGCTACACTGTATTCTGAAATGAGGGGAAATAAAATTGGTTACTGAGCAGTATTAAGTAGTATAATTAACATACTGAAAGTAATCGAATCAGAGAGAAATGAGGATTAGTGTTAGCAGAAACAGCAATATAATCGTCTAAGTCTGTTCAATTCATGTACGTGTGTAAACGTCAGTAATTAGTCACCAAAATACTTATAAATAGTATACTTGATGTGCGAACGATAATGTAGCCTTAAACTAGTTCGGACAAGAAGAAAAAGGTTGATTTGATCAAAATGACACCTCTATTAATACATATTTTGAATTCCATTGTCTGGAACTTAGTTCGAATGTTTTAAAATTTAATACAAAACGTGAGAAAATATTTCCTAAGCGTACTCGTTTTCTAAAGGTATGTTTATCTATTAGTTTAATCCTTCTTTAATGTTACAAACTAGGGCGATATCAGATAGTCTTTAATCATATAATAATTCTACTACAAATTATTCAATCCTAGATGACGTGGGTAAATTTTCCACCTAGTATTAAACTTGTTTAGAGGGCCTGTAGTGCTATGTTAAGCCCACATAGCTTATTCTAGCTTCCGGACAGACCAGTCTATCCATTCTTCTTGAGTCAAGTTTGGACCCTGTTAATTATTAGCTTATCAACTTTGACTGTTTTTATGTAAGCATATGAGGGTGCATTTCTTATCTTACTCATTACATGTCCGTAACATATTTTTGTCTGACTAGAAATATTGACTCACTATTGATTAAATTGAGTTGGATCACACGCCTTCTCCACTCCACGTCGTTTCGCTTCGTTCTCTTCTCCTCACTTCGTCCCTCTGATTGTTTATCCAGATCAATATGTGTACAAAATATACGTATTCAAAAATCCATTCTCGTATTTGTCTTATTTAATTCCGTGATTCGTTAACGCGATTTAAGTCGATTATTACATACGAGAATAGTCAGAATGTATATTTCGACAGCAATTGTTCGATAACTATTATTTGTCCGATCTTACTGGATTCAGATATCGGGTCACAAAAGGTCCGATGTTACGGATAACCCTCACATGAAGTGTTGTTGAAGAGCGGGTAAACGAATCTGTAATCGATGGTTTGTATGGAAGTTTATCCCTCAAAGTTTATTAAAAGATAAACACTTATTTCATTTAAATACTACGGTGTATACATCATTCTCTTTTCCAGTGAATGACTTATAGAACACTGCATATACTTAATTATTTTGGTGCATTTAAATTCTCTGAGTCGAATATTCTAAACATGAAGCTTTAATTACCTTTTAGGTCTATGTCATTAGTAATTCAAAAAAGGAATGAGCTACTAGAACTACGTTACACGTGGTTAACACATTTAATTTAATTGTATGTTACGGAATTCGAGGAGTTTATCTTAACTGGAATTATCTTTTAAGCTGCAAATTTCTACTGTCTCAAAAGTTCACATCGCTATAATTGTGTATAATAAAAGTAATTCATTTGATATTCATACAAACTACTTGACGTTAGATATTCTCTTCGTATAAATTTATGTAAATAAAAATATTATTCAATCAAATTTTCCAAAACCTAAGTGAGTTAAATTAATCTTTTATCCATAAGATAAAACCCGACAGTCATTGAAAGATAACTTCTATTAGTTTAACGGTGATTATCAATTAGTATTTCTCTATTGACTTTCGTTTATCATTTGGGCAGACTAAAAACTAAAGTCACTATTTTGTTATACCATCTCAATGCTACAATTTATGACAAATATTAAATAGTATACAACTTAATGAAAGCTGTCAATATAGTCCAAAGTACTCATGATAAATATCATTCTTGGGTTCTATTCCCGCATGTGGAGTTGTGAATGCATACCGCTAGGGATTTTAATACTAGGAGAAAACCCCAATCTAGTGCTATCAGGTTTTGAATGGTTTTCTAAATTAGCTCGGTTCATGATTTCAGTTAGTCAGTCTTGACTTATAACTACTTGTGACGTATAATTATGTTAGTATGTTTTTTATCATGCTACTATAACTATTTAATATTAAGTATAATCTCTGTGGTATTGTCATGCATATTAATAATGTTAAAGGAGGAAGTTATAAATTATATGTATATTTGTAGAGTGATATTTTGTCATGGTTAGGAATACATTCCTATAAGTGATTTTCAAGTCATGAATATGATTTAATTATGTAATTTTATGTGCGTTTTGTTTAATTCTGTCAGTATTCATAAATTTACTCAATTTTTACACTTTGCTTGAAGTATGAATTAGCGAAAAATGAATGCGTATGAATATAATAAGTTACGTCAAACTTAGTGTTTAATGAACTTTTTAACATTAAAGTAAATAGACATGTTATGTTGTAATTTGTTAATACAAACAGATTAAACATGTATACTATAATTTCCAATTGCGTTTACAGTTGAAAATTACAAGATAATTGTAATTGTTAATGGATTTTGGCAATTTATTTAATGTAAACTATTATCTTAACTGTTATTCATATAACTGATAGTTTAATCATTTAATTAAATATCGTATACTAAAAGCGTATAATGTAAAAGAAAGAAAATTTCACTTTTACATGAACATAATTCAATAATATTAACAATATGTTTTTGTCAAGAATTTTAATTGTGAATCTTGATTTTTATCAGAAGGGGTTTGTGGAGATTTTAGAAACTTCACAGATTGAAATTGTGAGTCAATTGAAGCTAGACCACCATGGAAAACCTGGAAGCACTGGATGGCCATTTCGTCCTAGTATGGGACTCCTCAGCAGTGCGCATCCGCGAGATATCAGCTCACCGAAGACAATGGTGTACGGTGGCGCAACTTCCTGGATTGGTTGAAGTTAGACATTAACACCGTTGGATGCCGGCTAGCTCAGTGGTCTAGTCGGTTAAGCGCCTGGCGCGAGACCGATAGGTCCTTGGTTCGAATCCCGCGGGGTTTCGGGATCGTGGATGCGCACTGCTGAGGAGTCCCATACTAGGACGAAATGGCCGTCCAGTGCTTCCAGGTTTTCCATGGTGGTCTAGCCTCAATTGACTCACGATTTCAATCTGTGAAATCTTGATTCTAACTAGAAAAAAAGTTGAAAAAATTACATTTATCGTTTGATGAAGGATTTGTGTGTTGTTATTCTATCTAGTTTTTAATGTTAAATAAATCCATTCTGTAGATGTTTGCGTCTAGTCTGAAGGTATGCTGGAGAAACGCGTAGAATGCTATACATGATGTGAGTTGCAAAAGAGATAAACAAGATGAAAAATGAGCCAACGACTTAGCAAACGCACGAAATATGCTTAATTTAAATAAGGGGTTCTAGTGTAAAATTATTTCAGTTCAATATCCTTTGTAAAATCCGAAAGATTGGTTCAGAGAAGAGTTCTCTTTTCGGTGAATTTATTTTCAAAGCTGTAAAATCGCAAATATATATATATTTTTCAAGATGATGCATTTATTAATATACTTGTTCATGTGGAGCCAGGTATATTGGTTGTTCGCTGCGCACTTTATCCAAAAGAATTGAAGAACATTACTCGGCTTTGCCAAAAAGAGGCGGAAACGATTTACTAAGAAGCTCAATAATCAAACATCATGTAAACACATGTCACTCAAAGTCATTTACAAGGTAAGTAGAAGACCGTCAAAGGCAGTTATATTGCGTCTTCTTAACATTGCCGAAGCAACAGCTATACATCTGGCAAAACTAGAATTATATGTCTAAAGGAAACTGGTACAACCTCTTCTACTTTGGTCTTAATGTCTCATAATTTTCTTTCCTCCCCAAACTTTTCTTCCTTCACGACCATCTGCTTTCCTTTTTATCTTTTTCATAGACCTTTTACCCTCAACTGGTCTATTTCTGTTTCTATGATCTTCCTTATCATATTTCATCTCAGTTCCTTTCTTTCCGAATTATAATTTTCTTATCTATCTTCATGATGAATATTCAAGT